TGTTGGCCGACGGTCCGGGACCCGCCCGGCTCAGCTCAGCAGACCTGCCACCTGCCGGCTTGGGTTTGCCAGCTGCGCTGATGCCACGCCTGCTGCCTACTGACGAGTAGCCGTTGTATTAGCCTGGTCGCGTGACCGCTCTGTCATTCCATTTGTTCCGGTGATGATGTGGCGTTATGTCTCGGTAACTGGCTCTGACCCCTAAGGACTTTCGTCTTGTGTGGCCACGTTGGTCGTCTCCGCTTGAGTCTGTCTTTTGTAGCTGTTATGTGTGTCGTTCCCACTTGAGTCTGTTTTTGTAACTGTTACGTTGGTCGTTCTCACTTGAGTCTGTTTTTGTAGCTGTTTTTATCTGGTTATCTGTCACCGCCAAGCGCTGCTAATCCATGTTCGCGTTTTAGCCTGGGTGCCTTCCCTCTAGTATCTGCTGCCCACTCCTAGCGTTGTCCCGCCCTTCTTGCGTCACCTGAGGCAAGTCAGCGCCCTCCGCGCGCTCCCGCCCCAGCGCGGCAGCCGCGCCGCCTGTGACACCCGCTCCCGCCAGCAGGGGCACGTCGGCGCGCACTGAGCCGGTGTGCGTGCGCCGCGGCTGGCCGGCGCGTGCTGCACCGGCCGGTGAGGCGGCCCGGCCGCGCACCGAGGCGCGCCGCCCGCCGCCCCGGCCGCCAGGCCGCGCACCAGTGCTGGCACAGTCACCCGCCGCCCGCCGCCGCCGCCGCTGCCGCCGCTGCCGCCGCCGCTGCCGCTGCAGCCGCTCCAGCTCGCTCCGAGGCCTGCGCTGTCCACCAGCTGGGTCAGTGACGATGCGACCGGACCGGACAGGTTACGATCTGGTGCTTGTGGTCTGGGATGTGTGCTGATGTGGTGGCTACCGGTTGGTGGACAGTGATGGGGGAGGTGAATTTGTTTTGCGCCAAGATTTGCGTATCATATATTTGTGAAAATTTAATACTTAAGTGACTCATTCTCAAGATTATACTGATTCAGAGTCATATTTGAAGAAACGTCCCACGAATCCGTGGGAAAACTGTCAGTTCGTGTTGATGTCCGTATTAAGTATGAAGTTCGAGATCAAATCGTAACTTCCGTGACAAGAAATCCGGGAAGATATCGAGCATCTGTTTCTGATCATCCCGTGCATCTGTTTCCAAGCATATGATTATGTTGGTGGCAAGGGCGAAGGTATGTGACGTCATAAAGCGTTTCAAAGCCGGGCGCCGTCTCCCACGGGATGCATGACCGGTATCTGTAGAAGTGAGCGGACCGAGGAAGCCCGCTGTGGTGAAGGCTGCGGCGAGGCCGGCGCTCTTGGCCTGATCAGTAACGATGGTAACGCCGTCAACATGGGCAAAGTGCCAAAAGAAGGCAGCGTCAGACATAGGCATCAGGGGAGAAGAGGTAAAACGCCACACTTTCAATTGAGTTGCAGAGGAAGGCTAGATGCGGAGAACTCCCTCGCAGTCATGCATATGCGGGGAAATTTGGATTTATCGATGACAAGGCATATAACATGCACAGGAAGCGACAAGCCCAAGAATGTTGATATTTATGTGGGGAGATGGCGACGTCCCAGACCATATTGCTGGACAGATGGCGACGTCTCAGATCATATTGCTGAGGAGGTGGCGACGTCCTGGATCACATTGCTGGGGAGATGGAGACGCCTCAGTCCATATTGCTGGGGAGATGGCGACATTCCAGGCCATATTGCCGGGGAGATCGTGACGTCCTAGACCACATTACTGGGCAGATGGCGGCGTCCCAGACCACATTGCCGGAAGATGGGGACGTCCTAGAACATATTGCTGGGCAGATGGCCACGTCTCAGACAATATTGCCGGGGAGATGGCCACGTCCCATATCCAGCGTCTCACATCAGAAAGCAAGTTTCCCCGCGAGGTGATGGTGTAAGTGGCCATCTTCCCAAGAGGATTAGCGGAGCTCACCTCGACCCCGCTAGCGGTGAAACGCTTCGTTTGTCCTCAGGCAGATCAAAGTGGTGAAGGTTGCCCTGGAAGCGGTTTTGTCTCATCATCACCTGAACATTCATTTCCCCTTTCCGTATTTGGTCACGTGATAGTCGATCATAAAGTACCACTTGCATGAAATGAATAGGTGCATGAAGAAACAAAACCGCCCCCGGTGTACAAATTTCTGGATATTTTGATAGTTCCGACGAGAAACCATGGTTTGGGGTCCTGCTTATGTCCTATTTTCGGCACGTTTCAGCTTTGTAACAAAGTCGGTCCCCATCTAATAATGGTTACGTGAAAAGGGCTACTATGCAGATCTATGACCAGTTCGAACATCTCAGCTGTGCTCAGTTGGAGATATCGGGGCATTAATCGACAGTATATGTACGGAGGAGAATGGAAAGCAGCTTTTGACGTGCAGTAATCTGAAGAAGCCGTATGGTGTCGGCCCCCGGGCACGGAGGTGCGCCGACCAATCGTCAAGCGTCTGCTAGCATGGTGGTGGAACGCGGGTACGGGACCGGTGTGGCCGCGGAGCGCGGGCCAGCGGGCCGGTGTGACCACGGAGCGCGGGCCAGCGGACCGGTGTGGCCGCGGAACGCGGGCCAGCGGGCCGGTGTGACCACGGAGCGCGGGCCAGCGGACCGGTGTGGCCGCGGAACGCGGGCCAGCGGACCGGTGTGACCGCGGAACGCTGGCCGTTGACTGGCCACAGATATGGGTCTAGATAAGCCGGGAAACTATAGTTATGTCTGATTATATTTTGCGTCACATATGACGGGACGCGTAGCTTCATCGTGTCTCAGAAATGAAGTGATGCTTCTCACACGGTCACAGGTGAACACAATGCTAAAGCCGGGGGCCGGGCCCAGCAGCAACAGTGTGGGCGGCCCAGCATGCCGGCGGAGCGTATCGAGGTCGCTCTTTACCTTTGCTAACCAACCATTACAGTGATGACTGGTGCATATGGTACATGCCGTACCTCGCCAGCGTTCACTACATACGTGAGACGCTGCAACTGCTTGAAGAGACCGGCGCAGTTTGTAGCCCGAAAGATGAAGCCATCCTGCGCTCCCCAGCTCCGACCAGCAGAGCACTGTGGGGTGTGATCGGTCACAGTTTGTACCTCGAGAGATCCCGCGCTCCCCAACTCCGGCCAACAGAGGACTGTGGGGTGTGATCAGTCACAGTTTGTACCTCGGGAGATCCCGCGCTCCCCAACTCCGGCCAACAGAGGACTGTGGGGGTGTGATCAGTCACGGTGGGAGGCTGGCAAACACGGTTTGACAAGTAGCTGAACATACGGATCCGAAAAATCGTTCGCGAACTTAAGCCGAAGGCTCCGGACTGGATGATGGGCAAGGTGGCCGCGCACTTGCGCCTGGCGAACAAAGGCGGGCTCATATCTCAGCAGCACGGACCTTATCGTCATTTCCATCAAAGAAAGTGTTCCACATTTGAAGAATACCGAGGGAAACATCAGCTGTGATGAAATAAGATCAGTTGTAAATATTGGTATACGTTTAAGTGGAAAAGACCTATGGCGTTAACACAATTTCCCTATTTGGTAGATATCCTCCCCACTGCGTCCTTGTTTGACCGCGTCATCGTACCTTGCACTACACTGATTGAGAACTAATTGACGGCCGTTTCATCTGGAAATTGTGTTCATGAACGCCATATGTCAACGACTCGACAAGTGTTTTTGGCATTGACTGCCGCGTGGCTAATGGATGGCACAAATTGAATGGTGTTATGGCGTCGTGAACGCCTGGGTGACCTTGAAATCCTCGAACTCCTCGAAAACGTTGCGCATATTCACGGGCGCGTAGCTCAGGAACTATAAGGGCTTGGGTCGTAAGAAGGGTAGCGCTGTGAGCTGCACCGAACGATCTTCAATATGGCTATTTCAGTTCAAAATCCCATGCAAATGTTAACACTAGTTTTAAAGCAGCTTATTTTCGATCGTTTTGTTCGCTGTGGAAGACAAAAGTCGGCTTCCAAAAGCGTTTCAGTACATTATTGAAAAACTCACAATCGGTGAGATTTATGTACAGCACTTCGGCTGAAGTCAATTTCGTGTTTGTTGTTTGTTCGTGTGCCATTTTCGCCCGTAATCACTGTTCGCTGCGCCTTGGTTGATCCCTGCGCGTCACCGTGGCCGGTTGTTGCCGTCGTCACCTGCCATTCTGCAACGACCGGCGCCGTTCACTGGCGCCGCTCTCGGGACAGGGGGTCTCTCCGGGCCGCCGCCGCCGCCGATGCCGTACCAGACGTACCCGGGGTCGTACCCGACGCTGTACGCGCCCGGGTACCCGCTGCCGTGCAGTCCGGCTCAGCGTCCGGCCATGTCGCCACTGCCGCCGCCACCGCCGCCGCCTCCGCCGCCACCGGAGCTGACCGTCAACCCGCGCCACTACCGGCTCTGGCATCAGCAGCAGCGCATGACCGAGGCGGCGCGCGCGCAGATGGATCTGCACACCAGGCGAGTGGTGGCGCCCGGCTCGGCCGGCCGCCCGGTTGGCTGGGAACTTCTCTCTGCTGTGCTGTTGGGTTGTGGGCTAATCTTGCCTTTATCAGAATGCCGGCAGTTGTCACTGCCTGTTTGTTGATTTGCGGGCGACTGGTGTGCTTCGTGTGGCCAAACAGTTAGCTATCCCTATGCTCCGCGTCCAGAAAGCTTTGGCCGTGTGCGTCCCGGCGAGCTCCCCCCCCCCTTGTTCCCACCCCGTGCCCCTCCCACTGTCACCGGGGCCCCGTGCCGGTCGCTGATTTTCTCCTCCGATGGCAGGGCGCGTGGCCGACCGTCGGCCGGCGGTGACGCGTCCGAGGCGTCCGGTGCCGTCCGGCGGCCGCCGCTGGCCTGCCAGCACGCGGCGCCGTCTGCCGAGCCGCCGCCGCCGCCGCTGCACTGGGAGCCGCGGCCGCTGCCGCCGCGCCGCGCCGCCTCGCCCGCTGCGCCGCCGCCAGCCCGCCAGCCGGCCGAGTGTGGCCGCGCCGCGGCGGCCGCCCCGCCGCGCGCCGCCCCCGCGCCGCTGCCGGCCCACGCCGCCGGCGCCGCCATGGCGTACCCGTTCTCCCTGCCGACGTACCTGAGGTGAGCGGCTGGCCACGGCTGGCGCCTGTCGGCCGGCATGTGACCGCCCTGAGGACTGCAAGACGGCTGAATCCCTTTGTTCTGACGCCGTTGACGGCAGCGTTGTTGGCTTTGACAGCTGCTGGTGACGGCCCCTCTCAGGGTGGCTTGCGGATGTGATTGGTGGCGGGCGTGCTCTGGACATGAGTTGGGTGACCTCGAAGGTTGTACTGCTGCTGTGGACTGGACGGTAGTTGCGTCCGATATGTGTTTTTCTGTTATTGAAGACGACAGCGGCGTCGCGTCGCTCTAGCAGGCCTCCGTTTGCAGCTCGGAGGTACCGCCGCATCAGTACCATTACGTGCCTCACGCGCACGTGCAGCCCATGGGCTTTCACGGCCTTCACATCTCGATCTCGGCGCTGCAGCCACATCCGGTACGTGCCGGCCCGCTGGCGTCGCTGCTGCGGCGGCAGGCGGGCTGGCTGGTCCCTGACCCACTCCCTTCCCGCCGCACGTTACCCCAGATGGTACTGGATGGTCCTTGATCTTCCACTGCCACCCAAATAGTGTTGTGTGGTCCTCTGGCCGTCCACTGCACTCCAGGCGTTAGTTTGGGGTCCCCTGACCGCTACCAATAAATACATCCGTGGTGCTGGATGGTCGTCTGATCGTCCTTCAGTGTCCCCAGATTTCTGCTTGTCCCCCCCCCCCTCCCCCTTCACCGTATCAGCACTGTCGCCGCTGTACCCGGGACGGTGTTACGTGGTTGCCGACCCCCGCTGTCCCACGGGTGATAGCCAGCGGCTCGGCGATTGCTCACCCCGGGTAACGTCGGAGGGATGCCCGGCCCGGACACCTGCGCCCCGGCCTGCGCCCGCCGGCCGTATCGGGACCCGTGCCTGACGCGCTGCCGCCGCCCGTCGCAGGGCATGTCGGCCGGCCAGCTGCTGCCGCCGCTGATGTCCGGCATGGCGACGGACGAGCATTACCTGTACCTGATGTCGCAACTGGAGTCTGCCCGGCATGGCGGCGCGCAGCCGGGCGCCTCGCGCACTCAGATCGAGCGCAACACACTGCCGCACCGCTACAAGGTGAGGCGGCCGGCGTGCCGCGGTCCGAGGGTGGCCGGCGTGCCGCGGACCGAGGGCGGCCGGCGTGCCGCGGTCCGAGGGCGGCCGGCGTGCCGCGGTCCGAGGGTGGCCGGCGTGCCGCGGTCCGAGGGCGGCCGGCGTGCCGCGGTCCGAGGGCGGCCGGCTCGCCGCGGTCCTGAGGGTGGCCGGCGTGCCGCGGTCCGAGGGCGGCCGGCGTCGCCGCGGTCCGAGGGCGGCCGGCTCGCCGCGGTCCGAGGGCGGCCGGCGTCGCCGCGGTCCGAGGGCGGCCGGCGTGCCGCGGTCCGAGGGCGGCCGGTGTGCCGCGGTCCGAGGCGGCCGGCGTGCCGCGGTCCGAGGGCGGCCGGCGTGCCGCGGTCCGAGGGCGGCCGGCGTGCCGCGGTCCGGGGTGGCCGGCGTGCCGCGGTCCGGGGGCGGCCGGTGCCCCGCAGACTGCCGGCTGGTTGTGGTCCGCGGTACGGGCTGCCTGACAGGCTTAAATGTGAAGGCTTTGCGGGGCTGGCGAGCGTGGTGGAAGCCCAAAAAGAATGCAGAGAATACATAAGCCGGTGGTTTGTGCCGGCCGTGATTGTACTAACCGCTTGGCTTTTATGTTGATATTGGAAATGGCTGTTTCAGTCTTCACGAACGTCTTGAATCGCATAACCAGATGGCGTGAATGGCTTATACCGCGCATGATTTCCTTGGTACTGAATCGCCTTGCCTTGGCGTCAGTTTGAGGTCGCTGTGACACAGATTAGCCGAACGGGTACTGCACACCGTTTCTTTTGGCAATGACAGTTTGTTGCGACTAGCGCCGCCACGCAACAACACCTGGTGTCTGCGCCGGCGTACGTGGCCTGTCCCGTTAGCGTTATCTGGCGTAGGGCGGCGCCGTTTCTGCTGAGTTCCTCCAGCTGGTCACCAGTGGTAGGCGACTGCGCTTTCGATGGGCATAGACCTTTCGATTGTGCGGGATCCGCTCGCCGAATGGATTTCAAAGATGCGGGGACCCGGCCACGTAAGGCCGGGCGACACTACAGGTGCGGTGCTGTCATCTGCCGGCTCTGTCCCACAGCATCAGAAAACGAGGACGGAGACGGGCGACATCGAAAAGTGCACCATTTGTCTTTCCGAGTTCGAGGACGACGAGTGCGTGAGGTGAGTGCGGGAGGACGCGTTGTCTGGCGCGCCCTTTTTAGTCAGCTGGTGACGGTGATGTCAGGCATCGCTGATGTCTCGCTCTTTTTCTTCCGAATAAAGGGACAATGTTATCTTCGAGATCTATCTCAAAGCCATTTGCCGCAAATGCCTAAAAATCCTCAGTAGAAAGGGTCTGGTCGCACTGTTTTGACGGCCCTCGTGAGTTGGCGCGCCTGCGTGTCTGTGTGTTGTGTGTGTGCGTGTGTGTGTGTGTGTGCATGTGTGTGTGTGTGTGTGTGTGTGTGTGTGTGTGTGTGTGTGTGTGTGTGTGTGTGTGTGCGTGCGTGCGTGCGTGCGTGCGTGCGTGCGTGCGTGCGTGCGTGCGTGTGTGCGTCTGTGTGTGTGTGTGTGTGTGTGTGTGTGTGTGTGTGTGTGTGTGTGTGTGTGTGTGTGTGTGTGTGTGTGTGTGTGTGTGTGTGTGTGTGTGTGTGTGTGTGTGTGTGTGTGGTGTGTGTGTGTGTGTGTGTGTGTGTGTGTGTGTGTGTGTGTGTGTGTGTGTGTGTGTGTGTGTGTGTGTGTGTGTGTGTGTGTGTGTGTGTGTGTGTGTGTGTGTGTGTGTGTGTGTGTGTGTGTGTGTGTGTGTGTGTGTGTGTGTGTGTGTGTGTGTGTGTGTGTGTGTGTGTGTGTGTGTGTGTGTGTGTGTGTGTGTGTGTGTGTGTGTGTGTGTGTGTGTGTGTGTGTGTGTGTGTGTGTGTGTGTGTGTGTGTGTGTGCATGTGTGTAGGTGTGTGGCTCGATGCGGTCTGCCGTGCCTGGCCGCGGCAGCTGGCCGAAGGCGCCGCCGCCACCGACCGCAGCGCCCTCTGCGCTTCGCCTCACACGTGGCCCGCGTTTTCAGGCGGCTGCCCTGCATGCACCTGTACCACATCGACTGCGTGGACCAGTGGCTGGCCACCAACAGGCGCTGTCCCATCTGCCGTGTCGACATCGAGGCTCACTCGAGCAAGGCTCAGCTGGGCCTGTAGCCGGCCCGCCGCCCGTCCCTCGGCGTGCCCTGGCGGTGGTCGGCTCGGAGCGCCGGAGCCGTGCGGTCCAAAGAAGCGCGTCCGCGCGGCGCACGCACGCGAGCGCGTTCGATGTCAGCTCGGCCTGTCGCGGCGGGGTGGCGGTGGCTGGCGGCTGCGGCGGGTGGGGCGGGCCTCGTCACGCGGCCCTTGGGTGGGCGCGGCGGACCGGTGGGCCGGTCAGCTGGCGTGACCGCTCGGCGCGTCTGGAGCCGCTGCCATGACCTCCTGGCTGGCGGCGCGTCTGACAGTTGGTGACGCGGGAGCCGCGCAGGGCTAGTGCTTAATGGGACTCGGAAGGGTCAGAAGACCCAGGTGAATTCCGTTGCTTTCTGTCAGCCAAATGGAGCAAACCGCCGTGGAGCTTGAACAGTGGTGTGATGTACCCGGGGTGTTGTTCCCTTTGGGTTGTTCCTTTAGCACTATTTGCTCGATTGTGGGTGTGCTGATTAGGTAGGTCGTAACCTTTAACGGGTGTCTATACCAGCGACCATGCATTTATAGCGTTGCCTGTCCGCGGAGCTGGTGACTGGTGCTGCTGGCCTTTATTAAAACCCACGCACATTGATACCAATCGTTGAAGCGCTTCTCATTGTGCGGTCGGCTGTACATTTATGTAATTTGTTGCACCAGTGGAACATTAAAGGAAGGGTAGCTACCCGGATTGTGACAACCGATGTGAGTTGTGATGTAGGGTACGTTTATCGTGTTCGGCTTATATCGCTAGCGACATTGACCCGTCGCTGGTCTGACGGTGGCGACATCTGTGGGCGGCACTACCTGAGACTGCCACTCACCAGAACGGCTCGTGCATGTGTATCAAGCTAAGCGAAGAAATCGCCTTTACGTGTACCCAAAGGATGATGTGTGGTCTAACCGGATTTTGGCAGTGCCTCCACGTTATTGTTCGCTTGCTTGTTGCATGACGACTGGCGAGTGATCAGAAACGAATACACGATGATAATTCGGGGTTTTGTCCTTCCGTGCCTGGTGCGTAATAGGTGTTTTTAAGTCGTCCCTGATTACGAACAGCTGCTTGCTTCTCGGCCTGTATGGAGTGGTATGTCGGTGCACCTGCCAAGATCGTGACAGGTAAGACGATAAGACCGTCAAAACTGTAAGACCAAGGTGCGCCCAAATTTCTTTGAACACGAAGGTGTGTTTCAGAGGTGAGACACTTGGCCTCGGTGTTCCCGATAGACGGCTCGGCCGGCTGTGGGAACACCTATGGCGTTTGTCTGTCAGGGCCTTTTCAACACACACGCGATACGCTCGTTTCTCGCTACTAGTCAGCACTTACCCGCGTTGACGCTGTGCGCGAAACAATATCCGTTGTTAGTGTGGCTGTGTCTCGGCACAGAGTGGCGCGAAAGTTGTATACTGCATCGGACAGCTGACTCCTTTTGTGGAAGGCCACTTCACGCAGCCCGAAGTTGAGGGGGCAGAGGCTGCAGCGGCACATCAGCAGCAGGGGCTTGTCGCTGCGCCAGATGCCTGCTCTGCCTGGACGTGCCCATGCCTTGTGTGGCGGCCGCTGCTGTCGTCGCCCGTTGTCGCTCCCCCAACACCGCAGCCGCGTCGGCGGTGTGCTCGGTCGGTCCTCCTGAGGAGCTCGTTAGCCACACGTGCGGACGTCCCACCGGCGCTGGCCTTGACTGCTGCGTGCGCGCGGCGCGCCGGCGGGTGGGGGCTCGCGCCGGCGCGCCGCCGCCCGTCGGCCTTCGCCCGGCGGCGGGCGCGAACTGTTTCCGGGAGCGGCCACGAGGGCGCCACCGGTACCTGGCGCCGGCCGTCCGGCGCGGCGAGGCCACTGGCGAGGCGGCGGCGGTGCGCGGCGGTCCTGTCGGCGCGCGGACCCGGTCACCAGCGGCACGTGGGCACGAGGGCAAGCGTCACGCGGCCAGCTGACCCGAGGTCAAGGGTCGCGTGACTAGCCGACCTGGAGCTCTGAGACGTGAGCACGGCTGATTCGGTTCGCGCGTCGCGTGTGCCACCGACCTCAGGTCAAGCGTGACGTGTGCAGCGCACCGCGGTTCGCAGTGTCAGCCGCTCTCGGGCAGAGCAGGCCGGCGGATCGCCTGGTCGGACGCCAGCCGCTCGCCCGCGGCTCGGCGCCGGAGCTCGGCAGGTCGCGCGCGAGGCTCGACCGCCGCAGACAGAGGAGCACGATGGCGTTGCGAGAGGGTCGCCGCGACGACATGGAGCGTGCCTCCTACTACGTCTGGTTCCTCGGCACGGAGGAGAGTCGGGGCCTGCGCGGCCGTGAGTATGTGGCCCCTGTGGTGGCCGACCTCGTGCGCAAGGAGCGTCACGTGGAGCCGTGCAAGGTGACGCTACAGCTCAGCAGCAAGGGCATGAAGATTGTGCAGCACGTGGCGCGCCCGGGCAGTGGCCGCGCCGGCCAGGTGAAGCACTTCATCCCCGACCACGCCATCACGTGCGCGGTGCGCGAACCGCCGCCGGATGACGACGTCGTCAGCTGCATCCTGCTCGTCTTCAACCCGGTGACCAAGTGTCCGGTGCACGTGCACACGTACCGCTGCGACTCGCCGGAGACGGCGGCGCTGCTGGCCGGCCAGCTGCAGACGCTGGCGGCGCGGCCCGAGAATCGCGCGCGCATCCAGCAGATCGAGGCGCGCCTGATGGAGCGCGGCCTGCTGGCGCCGCCGGCGGCCGTCCCGTATGGGCCAGCGGCCGGCGAGCTGCGCCAGAAGGGCCGCGCGGCCGCCGAGCTGGCTGGGCCCGCGGCCGCCGGAACGGTCGGCTATCAGGAGGACTCGAGCGGCATCGGGTCCGACGACACGCCCAGTCCCGACCACCGAGAGCGGACCTCCTCAGGTCAGTGGGTGGGCGGTGCGGGTCAGACATGTGAGGACCCCGGAGATCGAGCTACGGACCTCCTCAGGTCAGTGGGTGGACGGTGCGGGTCAGGCGTGTGAGGACCCCGGAGATCGAGCTACGGACCTCCTCAGGTCAGTGGGTGGACGGTGCGGGTCAGGCATGTGAGGACCCCGGAGATCGGGCTACGGACCTCCTCAGGTCAGTGGGTGGACGGTGCGGGTCAGACATGTGAGGAGCCCGGAGATCGGGCTACGGAGATCCTCGCGTAAGTACGCAGACATTTTGGTTTTAGCTTAGAAGGCCTTGATCTCCCGGCTCTTCGGCACTATCAGTTCGGAGTTCGCGTGCAAACAGTTCTCGGCATTTAATATCGCAGGCGGTTCTGTCTCGACCGCGTTATGAAGCAAATCTTGGTTATATCGGCAGTACTCAACGCTTCATGCTGTGTCTACGACTCTGAGTTAAAGCGGTCATCTCAGTCTCAGAACGCACTGGCATCTGCAGGCCAATGTATTAGGCGACATGTCACCGGTGGGGTGGCTTCGAGTGTCGGTATCTCGGCTCCAAGGCGGACAGAGCGGTTCCGCGGGGCTGGGTCCCCACCGTCTGGTGTCACTAATCCAGCCCCTCCCCCGTTCAGGAGATTTGTGTCCACTCTTCTCATTCGCTCGACCCCTTATTACAGAGATGCTTTTTCCGGGCACACTAATGGCTCTTGTCCGGATTTTGGTCTTGGTCTTTCGGGAAGGTCCTTGTCTTTGTAGGCACGGTCCAATCATATACCACCCCGAAAGCGGAAGGTCGCCGAACCAGACGCGCCGGTCAGGGGCTAACGTCCGCATCGTTTTGTCGAATGCTGCTGCAATTTCGTGACGTTGTAAGCATCGGTATATTTATGTGGTGAAGACGTGGGAAATAGCTTCGAGAAGATCACATGTACATTGTTCTAGCAAGTGCAACTTGAATATTTTAGACAGCAGTGAATGATTAAAGCACTCAGTAGAATAGTATACTTCGTCATGATTGCATGAGAAGGCCATGCGTTTTCGGGAATAACCAAGGACTGCGATTTCAAGTCAAGATATTCATACGAAGCCCGGGAGACAAAATAGCTTGAATAGCTTTGTGGTGAACATGAGGGGTTTTAAGCACAAATCAAATTGAACGTAGGTTATTTCACAGAAATTTAATAATACACCTATGTATAATATGATGTAGATTTGATATGCATATGCATACATATATATCCTATCTCTTTACTAGATCAGGTGCAGTCACTAGAAGCCACATCCCCACTTCCGCTAACAACAAGCGGGCGGTTCATAACCAGGAAAAGCGTCTCGAGTCTTGGTCCAAACCGCGTTCGAGCGCCCACGCCGCGCCTGGCCGGCGCCGTGCGGTGCAGGCCTCAGATGACCATCGCAAGCCGCCAGCGATAGAGCGCGATCACGAGTTACGGCATGTTCCCACGGACCGTGCGGGGGCTGGCCTCGGTCACATCTGGGTCAGTGGTCACGCAGAGTCCGCGGTCCCCGTCGGCGCCGCTCGCGGTCTGTTTCCTTCCCCCGCCGCGCGGGAAGATCGGCTGATAAGCTGCTGGACCGTTGGGCGTCGCCTGGTTCCACTGGCAACAGCGGAGCGCCGGTGTCGCGCGCCCCAGCCGTGCACAGTGTCGCACCAACCGCCCGGTCCGAAGCAGAGAGCTCTGCACGGCTCGCCTGCGTGCAAGCGTCGAGCGCACGAGCCGACGAGCGTCTCAAGCGCCGAGCGCACGAGCCGACGAGCGTCTCGAGCGCCGCGCAGGCCGGTCCCGTCCACTGAGAGGTTACCGTGGGGACCAGCCGGCGCGCCACGCCAGCGCCGGCCCTCTGTTCATGCGATGACTCGCGCCGCGTGGTGGTCTCTCTGCGCGCCGCCCACGCCGCATCTGAGACGGGCCCAGGGTCGGCCCTCGAACGGCGATCAGCGCCCGGCGGCTCTGGGTCAGCGGCCGGCCAGTCCCGGCCGAGTCACGCGTGCGCCGCGGGGCGGCCGGCGGCCGGTGGTGACCCGTTATCGCGCGTGCCGTCGCCGCACCAAGAGGCCACCACGCCGAGTCGGCCGCCGGCTACCGGGCCTGGAACGGCCGCCACGGTCACCGGCGGCCGGCGGCGTCCGCGGCCGACAGTCGGTGCCGTGCGGACGCGTCGCCGGCGGCGATTGTTACGGTGCGTGACGCGTGACGCGTGGCGCGCCAGTAGGGCGTGC